TGAAATAAAATAAAAAAAATCAGTTAACTTTTTTTTTTTCCAGTGGCCCTAATCCTCTTCCGTACAAAATAATGTAAAAATCAAAAAAAAAAAAAGAGTATTGAACCAGAATGCAAACAATGACAACGAATCAGTTCTACAGCCAATCAGATTGCCAGCTGGGTTTTAACTAAGGAAATGAGACCATCAACCCGATTTAAAAATCCATCTGATTTTATTATTCAACCAATTATCACAGTCCATTTTCCACTGTGGCCAATAACATTCACCGCAGGCCCTGGTTAAAAGTCCTGATTGTTTTCTGCACGGTGTACGATCTTGGCCTTATTTAAACCTTGCAGAAGTTTTTTTATAGTTCTTCTTTAATCCTGATAGAGAGAGCTATCTAGTAGCTTCAGGACCCTTTTTCAAACTCTGTCCTGCACCTTTTAGACACGTCTCTGCTGCAGCTCGCCAGCATATAATGCCTCTTGTTCACCTATTTAGTAAAGTCAGGGAACAGGGATGCGCACAGATAGACACTAGGTGGTGCTAGAGCACCTGCCCTTTTCACAATGAACCAAAAAGTGTCCTAATGATGGTTCACTAACCATCATTACACCCCCAAAAAAACAACTTTGAACGGTTTAAAATGTTAATTATTTTATAGACACTAATGTTTCATTATCCTGTGTTCCGTTTTTACTAATTTTCTGGTGAAACCAACCTGTAGATATATTATTAAAGATATTTATGTGACAGAATATGCATATTAACCTGAAACAGGCTACATATATGATGTTTAAGCCGTGCCCGTAATAAACACTGCTAGGACAGTGAGCGCTATGCACCACACAAAGTGCCCCTCTTTTGTTTTTGCTTGAGCGCCTGCCCCCCAAAATATCTGTGCACGGCCTGAGAAGAGACCTGCAGAAGAACAGCCTCAGAAACTCCTGTTCATTTCAGCTGTTAAATAACGAAAGTCTAACAATACTACAAACCATGATATGTTTAAAGCAGTATGGCAACATTTAGATTAGGGCTGCAAATAACAATTACTCTGCTAATTGATTCATCTGCTGATTATTAATAATCAACCTAATTAAAGCAGGTGAAGCTAAAACTTATTGATAAACTTATTTTCAAAGTTTTTTTTTGCTACTTGCTGCTCCTCTTTCAGTAGATGCTCCTTTTAGCGATTTCACCATTTAAGTCCTGATTAACTCCATCAGTTAAAAGAACGTTCAGCCGCTTTCTCAGACATTCGGTGTTGAATCCAGAATCTTTAGGAGCTGCTGTTCTAGCTGAGAGGGATCCCAGTTAGGTTCCAGTTCCTGATGGCAGACTCACCGCAGCGCTGGACACACTTTTCATGGCTGTGACTCCTTAACGATGGCTGCATAATCTCCTCATGCATCCAGACGTTCTCCACTGATCAGCAAAGCAAAAAAACCAAGGAAACTAAAAGAAAAGTTGCTGAAGCAAAGCTGCATGTTCTGCAAACGGAGCTCCGGGTCTCTGCTCCGCTCACTCCCAAACTTTTTCTCACACTGATGGAGGAAACAGCTGACTGGAGCCTTCCTGCACCCCCACCCAGGCCCTCTCAATAGATGAGAACAAAGGGGTCAATGCAACGTGGAGGGGGGAGTGTCTGCTAGAGACAGATGGGTCAGACGGACAGAATAATGATGGGGGGGGTTATTACACTGAAGCTGTTTTTTTTTCTCTTGATTTTTGCTGTTCAGTTATTGATGAAATGATCATGTGATCAGAAGCAGCAGAGACTAACCCTTCATCCTTCCTCATAAAAGCTTTTTTTTTTATTTAGTGGCTGAATGAAGAAAATCTGACGCAAAAAGCGATGAAAAGGGCAGCTTAACGAGGTAAAGGTGGAGCCAGAAGAACCACAGCATCCACAGACAGAAGGAGGAAAGTCCAGAGACGGGATGGAGCTGGAAAAACGACAAGAAGGAACACAACGAACACACCGGGGGTGGGGAGTTTATCAGCTGCTGACAGAACGAGCTGTGTTCAGACAGTCTCTCTCTCTCACAGATGGAGACTTTGGCTCTGGTGTCTGTTTAGTGTCGCTCCGTTCCTCGTTGCCTCCAACCATAACAACATTCCTGCTATCAGGCAGCGTTGCCGTTGACAAATGAAGGTTTTAATCTCTTTATGCTTGTTGTCGTTCGCCCTCTTCTCCCCTCACTCACTGCTTCGCTTCTTCTTCCTTTTAATCCAATCAGTGTTGTTTTGTCGGCCAAATGAAGGAACCAGAGGAAAAACCAAGCGACTACAGCAGAGAGAGGAGAAGTGGACTGAAATAAACAAAAGACAAATGCAGCATAATGCCAAATCATGTTAAAATACAACGATCTGATATCAGAAATCTGAATTAGATCGTTTGGTTCCTTCCTCACCTTCCATTTTGGGTTTTGTTAAAAAGTATTTTAACTGAATGACTGAAAATGGGGAGGAAGAAAAAACATAAAATAAACTAAAATCATCAATGATATCATTTGGGATGTCATCACAGCCTGATTTCCTCCTCATACTTTTT